CAAAGCACAGAATACCCCTAGAGCTAACAACTGATGACAAATTTTCACCAAAAATCAGCAGCAGCAGGGCTGGCCAGATCACTCCGTGGACCAAAGCATGTGCTGAGGCAGAATGCAGTGGCCAGGTTCGATCCCCAGAGTGCTGTGGCGGCCCCACCCCCCAGGGTGTGCCGAGGCAGAGCTTGAGACTGGGCGTGGTGGTGCGCACCTGCAATCCCAGCGCTTGGGAGGCTGAAAACAGGAGGATCACTAGGAGTCCGATCTACATAGTGAGACCCTGTCCTAAATACTAGATAAATAGATAACAATAAATACAAAATCAGCAGCAGTGAGTTGAGAAACCCTATCAAAGGAACAAAATCTAGAACCATAAAGCCAGATGCCAATGTTGATTATTAGTCATACTTCTATGACATATATTGAATGTAATATATTTAAGATGTAATGCTTTCAAGGGTTCCAAAGGCAAATATAATGTGATGGATTTTTTTTTTTTTAAAGAAATGATAGGGGCCAGGGAGATGACTCAGTAGAATAAGTATCCCTGGCAAGCACAAGGACCTGAGTTCAAACCCTAGTTCTGAAAAAAAAAAAAAAAAGAAAGAAAAGAAAAAAACGAATGATAAGGGTAGAAAATTCAACTCCTGAAACTTCTTTTGTCATCAGGGTGGTCTTCTTCTGCGAATCTTTATGAATGGGATGGAAAAGCCACCCCTGCTCAGGTCCTTGAGCGAAAGTGAAGGGACAAGACCAGAAGCGCATTTGCCCGATGAAGCGAAGCCTGGGCTGCCACGGCCCTCCCAGCCCGGACCAGTCCCCGACAAGACATGCACCTGCTCAGTGGCCATTTGTCAGCTGAAACCATTAGCCGACAAAAGCTGCGCTGCCAGAAAATTAGGTGGTGCTGACTTCATTTTGTTCTCCGTTCAGAAGCTAAGGTCGGGGAGGTTAGACCCACCATGTCTTCGTGCTCCTGCAGTGGGCATGCTGTGCGCCCCGCACACCATGAAATGTGTGGTCACTGACCCCTGTAGGCTGTGTGCAGCCTGGGGACACCATCCCGCTGGGCCTTCTGTGTCCCAGGACCCAGTCGATGGTTACAATGTATCTATTGCATGAATGATGGGCTCCTTTGGGGCTGCTGCGGCCGATGTCCTGCGCAAGCCCTCGGCTCTCACTCACTCCTTGGTGCTAAGGAAGGCTTCTTCACGGCAGGGAACATTGTTCGGCTCATCTCTGCCCAAGAACTTGCCCTGAGGTGGGGCAGGGGGAGCATCTTGGTTCATGCAGGAGACCCTGAGCTGGGAAGAGGGAAGATGGCCCAGGGAGCACCTTGCAGCCAGCGAGGCTGGGGCTTGCAATCGGATACTTCCGGGTAAGGGACACGGAGCTGGCTGGCTGGCAGTCTTCCACCAGGCTCTTGTGATTCAGCTCAGAACCAAGTAGAGGATACACAGTTTGAGTACTGTGGTCTACTGCAGTCCACGAAGTGCCAGGCAGCAGAAGGACTTCAGAGCAGGTTACAGTGTGGACACCCAGGCCTGCTTGTTCTGTTTCTGGTTTAGGAGGTATCGTTCTTCGGGGGACGCAACGGGCAGTGACAGATACCACCAACGGGGTGTCTGATGATCCCACAAATTGATTGGCTCACAGTTCTGGAGCTCAGCAGACAACCAAGGTGCTGGTGGAGCTGGTGTCTCTGAAGGAGAGCCTGTCCCAGGCCTCGGTCCCAGCTGCTGAGGGCTGCTGCTGTCGCCTGTGGCTGCATTGCTGCAGGCTCTGACGCTGACGTCACATGTGCTGTGGCTTCTATCAAGACTGGGCCTGCAAAGCCTCAGACTTTGGAAGGTGACTGAATCAGGAGAGCAGGGTGCTCATCCATGGAGCCATCCACAGCTTAATGGCTGTGAGGAGGCAGGCCCGGCGGAGTTAGGCCACCGTGGGTGTGACCTGGGGGTAGTCTTTTCCCCAGCTTCTCCCTTCTCTCTGTGCTTCCTGGGGCCTGGGCTTGAGCCCCCTTTCCTCTCCCACCCCTTCTGCCATGCTGCCCTGCCTTGGAGCCAGTGCTCTGCGTGCAGAAACCGCTACAAACTTCGAGCCAAATAAACCCTCCCTCCTTGAGATTGTGGGTGTCAAGTACTGTGTCTCAGCACTGGGAAGGTAACTAAGACAGAAACTGGTGCTGGAGGGGTGTCGGGTCATCGCTGTGGTCACAGCTGACCATGCATTTGGATCACGTGGCCTGGAGCCTGTGGGAAGTGGTTTGTGGCAGGAGATTGGAAAGGGTTGGAGGTGCAGGCTAGAAAGCCCTAGGGTGCTCGGGCTACATGCGATGGTACTGTTGGCTCGCAGAAGACCAGAATGTGGACAGAAATGCAGACAGAAAGGCCAAGCTCAGGAGGTTGCAGCTGGCAACAAGGACTCTCTTGGCACTGAAGACCTGGTGTGGTGAGTCCTGGCAGAAAATTTGTCTGCATTTTGATCACAATTTTGTGGGAAACTGAGATTGAGGGTGGTGGATTAACTACTGTTCAGCTATGGCCTGGGTGCTGCCAGCTACCCTTAGCCGGAGTCATATGCTTGGTGCTACCCACGTGCAAACAGCCCAGTGAGACCACAAATGAACATAAGCCTCCCGGCCTCCAGGCTACAGGTGCGGGCTGTGTTGTCCTGTGAGTGGAAAGTGACCATGATGCCAGGTCTGTGGAGCACCAGAGGAGCCAGGCCTGGGTCCCAGCCTGCTCGGTGTGCTCTCTGTGCACACTGTGAAGGAAGGCACTGATCTAACTTGCCAGCTACTCGAGCGCCAGCGTGGCCACTTCCTGGAATGTGGGACTGCAGGAAGAAGAGGGGATAAAAAGCTCCACTTCTTCGTAGCTTGAAGTCCGAACTCTTGCTTTTGTGACATCTCACAGCCATTTTTACAGCTGAGACACTACTGGGGGGGGTGTGATGGAGCGAGCATGCCTCCCTTCCCTGGCAACGGAGCAGGACAAGGTCTGCTGTGGAGGTGGAAGGCCTCCTGGGGGGCCAAGGCCACGCCCCCACGTGCCCCTTTACATGGTAGACAGGCGGGTGCACCTGCTGTGCACATGGCCTCAGTCTTCAGGGCCACCAGGCAGCAGTCAAGCAAGCACTGAGGCAGTGAGGGAGGAGAAAGAACCCCAGGGCAGACCCCACATGACGGCGCCCCCACAGCTATGCCCATTTCTGCCTCCTGCAGTTGTAGATACCCTTCTGTCTGCTCCTCGGCCGGGAAGATGGCCTCCTCTCCATTCCTTGATCTGGCCAAGTCCTGCACCTGTGCCAGCTGCACAACACATCTCACAGGGTCTTCGGCACGGCCGGGGGATTCTCTGTATTTCCACCCAAGGGGAACGTGGAGTTGGCAGAAGCTACCGTAAAGCTGGTTTTCTGCTCAACGCATTGCTAAATGACTCAGGAGGGATAGTTTGTTCTCATTTCCTTTGCAAAGGAAATGGCTTGGATTCTGAAGAAGCCGATCTGAAGCCTATTATGGCTCACAGCAAACACAAGCTGCTATTGCCATGTGCTTGGGCCCCCCACCCCTGCTCAGCCTACACAGGCCTTCACTGGCCAGCTGGGCATCTCTGCTGGCCTCCCAAGCCCACAGGGGCAGACCTGAAGGTCTCTGGGTGGAGCTTCCCAGGCCAGGTTTCTCAAAGCGGGATGAATGGTGGGGGACGGTGAGGAGTCAGCACTGTTCATGACAGCAGCTCCACTTCCCCATGTCCCACAAAGCCCTTCCCTTCTGTGGCCTCAACAGTGGATGAAGGAGTTGTGGTCCTCTGGCAGGTAGGGCCTGGGGTGCATGTCTGGCTGACCTGGCACCCACCGGCCAGCAGACCTGCAGCTCCACGGCATGAGTGACAGGTTGCTGTCCCTACCACCTACCAAGGTCCCCTCTGTCCCACCTGTCCCTCTCCTATCAGGGCCTGCTCCCTGCAAGCCTGGGGAGGGAGAATCCAAGCTTCCTTCCTCCGGTGGGTCCCTGGGTCTGCCACATGGTCTCCCTTCTTGTGTGTTGTCCTCATTCCTCAAGTGCCTGGCCCATGGCCAGCTGGGCCCAGGACCTCTACACCATCCCCCAGGAGCCAGCTGTGTGACCCACTGCCTGGACTGCCAATCCTTGCTAAGGAGCAAAAACAGGAGAGCATGGGCAATGGCCCTGGGACCCAGCTGGACCTGCCCGCCATCTGACCCTGCAGGACCATCTCTGAGCCAGCTGCAAGTCCACAGCCTAACTCCAGGGCAGATCAGATAGGGTCATCGCATGCGTACTCCGCTCTGGTACATCAGCCACAGGTCTTGGACTCCCAAATGCCAGCACCCGCTGGAGCCAAGCCTGAGGTGTCCCTTCCTCTGCTGGCCAGCACCTGTGAGGGCGAGCTGGCTGGCAGCCAGGTTGGACTCCTGCAGAGGCACCGTAGGTTCTGTGTCGTCTTGTTTCCTGTGAGCCTAGGGTGCAGAGGTACTCACACCCGGCAGCCCCTCTACCCCAGTACGCAGTAGGGCCCTAGCATTCACCTGCAGTGCTCCTGCGCCCACCCTTAGGGCCTGCCGTCAGCGACCTTGATGAGTTTTTACAGCCCCTATGTGTACGAGAGCCACGTCCATGTGGGCACCAGACAGGAAGCACAGTGAGGCTAGGGACCCCGCCCCAGGACCCTCTGGCAGGACACAGCCAGGTGGCCCAGTGCCTTCTCATGAGTGTGCCCATGTCCCTGTGCTCGGCCATCTTCACTGTCACTGAACAACTGAGAACCCCAAAGGCAAAGGCTGGAGGGGTCAGGCCACACAGCAGAGGCGGGCTGGACCCCAGCTCAGTCTCACTGTGAACTCAGCGGTCCCATTTCCCTGGGGCCCTGCGTCTCGCTCTGCCTCCCTTTCTCTCCTGATCTTGGGCAGCCTCCACCAGGAGCCTGACCTGTGATTCTGCTGAGGATGCTGTCATGGTGGATACGACAGGCAACACTTACTTCTCTCTGTTGAAGATGATGAATTCCTTCCGCACCGTCTCCAGACACTGCTGCAGGTGCCCATTCTGCCAAAGAAGACAGAGTGTGACAAAGTGACAGCGCTGTCCAGGGACATGTGGCCAAAAGGCCAGGATTGACCTAAACAGGAGTCACTGCTCTGAGCTCAGTGGCCAGGACAGGTGCTGTCACAGGGACAGCTGCAGCCCAGGAAGGCTGACAGGCTGGTGTTTGTCTCCATTTTAAGCTAGTGCAAAGGCATGTTAGGCTGGAAGGTGGGCAGCAGGCCTGGCTGGGTCTCCTGGCATTTGACTGTCCATTGGGCTATTTCAGCAACCAGTGAAGAAATTAAAGGTCATCCTGCAAGGTCCTGATGACCTTAGGACCACAGATTCACTGACAGGTGCCCCACGGGCCCTGAAAGGTGGGGGTGGGGGTGGACTACACTCTGGGAAGGAAGCAGGCCCCTCTGTGAACACACCGGCAGGGCCTTGTAGCCATGAGGCCTTCAGGGGCTGGGAAGATGTTTTAACTTCTTTCAAAGTAAGAAGGATAAAGGGAACTCTCAGCATGGAAGATTACATTCATCGTCACACCAACACAGTCATAAAACATGTAGTTTTGTAGAGGAGGGTGCTATCAGGCCCTGAGTGGCGTCTCCCACAACATGTACAGATGCTGAGCAGGGGCCTGTGCATGCGGCCTTAGGGGACATAGACCTTTGCGGGGGTAGTCGGGGCCGCTTGGGTAGCCGGTGACATAGAGCCAGAGACTGACGTCCTGGTATGAAGACCATGTGAAGACACAGAGACAGGCCAGGTGGAGATGGGGACACGAGGTGGCAGATGGCAGGGATGCTGCTGCCCCTGAGGGACACCAAGAATCTCCAGGCATCACAGAAACTGGAGCTAAGGAGGGCTTTCCCCCCACCTCTGGAGAACACAGGGCCTGGCTGGTGTCTCCACTGAGGACTTCCTCCCTTGGCAGGGGGGACAAATGCTGGTTGTTTGAAGCCACCAATCTGTGGTCCTTGGCTGTTAGCCAGGGACACTAAGTCAGAGGTCCTTAAGGTGGAAGTGCCAGGGCTTATGAAAGTCACAACCCAGATCTGGGCCTCCGCAGTACAAGATCTTCCTAACGGGTACCCGAGGAGTCAATTCCCCAACCTCGGCAGAGGGGTGACTTGGAAGGATGGAGTGAAAGGCCCCCTTGTCCAGCAGGAGGCTCGGCCAGCGTTTTGGTCCCCACCCTCCCGGCTGCTGTCCCTGGGAGGAACTCACCAGGGTGCAGGTGTCCTTCGTGCTGTCTTTGGACCTATGCTTTGCCAACCTTTTCTTCTTTTTGTGTAGTGGCTTGGATTCCAGAATCATTTCCTCCAGTTCGAACGTGGGGTCACAGTTTAGTCTCCCTTTCTGAAGGGGTGAGAGGAAGAAGACGCGGTTGGTCATCTAGCACCAGCCACAGCATCTTCTCTCCATTCAGTGAACCCGCTACTCACTCATTCATCGGCTAATGCTGCAATACCCCGTGGGACACACCGGGGACACTGTCTTTCTGGTGATAAAGTCCACATATCCCCGCATTAATAGGGACCATTGTCCCCCTCCAGTTCTGATCCTGAAGCCCACTCGTGGTGACTGTTCCATACTGCCAGTCTGTTTGCCATGCAGTCCAGGAGTGACAGCAGCCCTGGGGGCATCAGGGAGGCCTGGCACTGCCGCCTTAGCCCCAGCAGGCCAACGGCTTCCTCAGACTCCACTCCGTTCCTACAGAAGGGAGAGTAGAGCCCGTCCTGCAGCCCTCTCAGGGCTCTGGGTGGCTGGGAAGGAAGCAGATGCCCTGAGCCAGCTGTCCTTGACCCTGTTGGGGACCGGGCCTGCTGTGGCTTGGCCCCAAGTGGGGAAGGATGCAGACTTGTGGTTGGGCACTTTGGTGGTGTACTGAACCCTAACCCTCCTGGCAGCCCTGGGAAGGCCTGCGCCAGCTCCTGCCTGACCTGCGGCAACTGACGCACCCCATGTTGCTTCACACCCCTCGCACCTCCTGCAGGACTCCAGGGCTTGAGCCCAGCTAGGGCCGAGCTGCTGCAGCCTTTCTGGCCTGGGCTATGCTGTGATTATTGTTCCCTTCAGCCATGGAGTAATGTCCCATGTCCTTTCCTTGACTTCCTTGCTCCTGGGGGCAAAGCCTTGCTTTCTGCTAGGATTCTCACTGGGTTCCTGGAGCCAAGGCCTCCCCTCTCCCCCATCTCCTCTCCCCTAGAGGGCCAGGGTTTCCTCCATCACCACCAACTTCTGGAACATGGCTAAGACCTCCCTGCCCTTATTTCATACTGCTGTCCTCTGCTGCTTGCCCTTTTCCCATAAGCAATTCCAACTCTAGGCCCAGGTCTCTTCTGTTTTACCTGTCTGCTATTCATCCATCCACCCCCACCCACACACCAGTCCGTCTGCCCATCTGTCTGTTGGTCCATCAGTCTGTCTGTCCGTCTGTCCGTCCATCTGTCTACCCACCCAGCCACCCACCCAGCCACCCACCCAGCCACCCATCCAGCCACCCATCCACCCATCCACCCCTGCCAATGGGGGCTCTGCATTCAGTCCGCTTGAATTCAAGTTCTACTGGGTTGTTACCAGGTAATCTTGGGCAAACTACTTTTTTTTTTCTTTGCAGAACTGGGGATTGAACTCAGGCCCTTGCGCTTGCCAGGGAAGTGCTTATTCCACTGAGCCATCTCCCCGCCCCCCTGGGCAAACTACTTAACTTCAGCCAGAATAGCAGCAGGATCACTCTCAAGGACAAGTGTGATGCTCCTAGAATGAGGCCCAGCAGGAGCACAGGCACAGCCCTGCTGGCTGTTCCTATCCCCTCTAGGCACCTGTGACAAGCACACACTGAGCCCTCTGGTGCTGTCCAGAGCCACCATGGGTCACAAGTGCAGGCCTAGCCTGGACAACTCAGGAACTTATCACTTATCAAGATCCTATGTCAAAATAAAAAGTAAAGTGGGCCAGGGGTGCAGCTCAGTGTGAAGGTCCTAGGTTCAATCCTCAGCAAGCAAAACCCCAAACAAAACAACAGAACAGCAGCCTGCAGTGTGCCTTTCCTTACAGCAAGCCTGCACTACCGGAATGGTGCAGGGTACCCAGAGCACCACGCCTGCCGGGAGCCAGCACTCCCTGAGCATTGTTGTTACCAGGAGGCAACTTTGTCCCCAAGGGACAGGTGGTGAGGTCTGGGAACATGGTTGTCACCATGGTAGGGGCCTGTTGTGACCTCCTGGGTGGAGGCAGGCACCTGCTGAGTACCCTAAGAGGACCCCGCCCTGAACCTGGGTGGCTCCACAACCAGCTGCTGGCGCTGTCCTGTGGCTCCTGAAGGCTGTGCTGTGCTGCTCCTGTCCCCAGCACTCCTGGTGTCCAGTGTCCAGCACAGGCCTAGGCAGCTGCTGGGGACACGGACGGCCACAGCCGCATGTATGCCTTGGCTTGGTGCTGACTGGTCAGCGAGGCCAGGAAGTGGACCAGGAGGAAGCTGCCCCGCTGACACAGTGGGTCAAGGTTGCAGCTGCTCCCAGGGGACGCCTGGCCACTCCTGGACACACACAGATGCACATGTAGACACACATTCTCATACACCTAGATGCACACCGACACACACACACAGCTCAGAGCTGGCCACGCCCACCCCCTGTCCAGGCCCCCGAAGTGCCTTGTGCCAGCCTCGTCCACAGACTGAGAGCTTCAGAGTGGGAAGCCCTCTGTCCACCGTAGGTCCTGGGAGGGGAACAGGGTCCAGGGAGCTTCCTGCAGGGAGGCTGCTGAAGGACACCAGGGCTGGGTGTCGGGACAGAATGACTGCTTGGGGACACAGCACAGGGCAGCCAGGCTGTGCAGCAGGCCTCTGTCTGGAATGCTGGGCCCAGCTGCAGTGGGTGCTGTGGCCAGTGTAAGGAAGGGACCGGAAGCTTGGGCTCTGCGTGCAAATGATTTTGGGGAAAATGATCGTTGTCATCATCATCATTAGTTCGCACTTCTGGGGGCCCAAAAGGAAATGTGATTTTTCTACCCAAAACCAGCAGAAGTCCCTAAAGGCATCTGCCCTTAGTCAGTCCCTGGGACAGCACAGCCTTTCAGAACCAGCCTCGTGACCCCGTAGCATGATTCTCCTTTTGTGCCCCAGTTTTCTGCATCTGCAGACAGTGGGAATGGGAAGAGGTGGGAGCTGAGGCCACTTGGGGTTCCTTTCCTGCGGACATTACCCCTCCTGGGCAGGGTGGGCAGGGCAGACACAGCACACAGGTTAAGATGAGCCTGTGAGGCCTGGGAGGCGCAGGTGCACGTCCAAGTTCTCAGGGCTGAGGTGGCTGAGCAGCAACGCTGCCCAGGAGCTCTCACCCGAGGTCACTGCCCCTCGCCCCTCGAGTGCTCTCTGTGGATGTTCCGGCGTAGCAGCACTGCCCTGCATCAAGGGGTCCTGGGAGGCTTCCAGGCAGCTGCAAGCTCCCTGACCTCTCTCTGAGCCTCTGGCAGCCAGCTGCAGGACCAGGCTTAACAGCCAGGCTGCTGAGGGGTGGCATGCCCCTGGGACCCCACTCACATTGGGCACAAAGCCGGGCAGCAGCGCCTTCTCGAACACAGCGTCCCAGTTCATGTCGGTCAAGTAGGGAACACTCTGAATGTCACTGAGGCTGGACAGGCGGCTCTCGGGATCCTTGGTCAGGAGCTGCAGGCAGAAGGCGCCCGTGTCACCAGAACAGCATATGGCAGTCTCACTGGAGATGCTGGAGTGCCACAATGTGCTACACTTGCCGGTGGCCCTGCCTGGGTCTCAGCAGCACCACCTGTACACATCACTTTATAGCCAGAGGACAAAAAGTCCCCTTTGGCCATGGACCCAGCCTGTGTCTCTGCCCTCCCCATGCCCCTGGTGTCCTGTTCCCACATTCCCTGCCCGCCTGCATCTACATGAAATGACCCTGCAGCCTGGGGCTGCCCCTTACCTTCTTCAGCAGGGCCACCATGCCCGGGCACCACGTGGAGGAGTAGTGAACACGCTCCACCTTGAACATGCTGAGGATCTCATCGATGGGCGTGGAGGAGTGGATTTCATAGGGCCTCTGCAGCCAAGGGACAACCGCAGAATCAGACCAGGAGGGGAACAGACGGGGGCGATTCAGCCTCCCCTCTAAGTTGTAGCAGGTAGCCTGGAGCTGCGGGCCCAGAGGAGCCAGCCAAGGGGCAGTGCAGGCCTCAGCAGGAGGGTGGGGGTGGCAGGCCACGGAAGGTGAGGTGGCTCTCTGAGGTCATCTAGTCCATCACTGGCAGAGGCAGAATTCACACGAGCATCCTGGCCTGGGTCCCTATTGTGGCTACGGGCTGAGGCATGGATCCTGCCCATGCGCTGGGCACCCAGGCACAGGCACAGGTGCAGAGCTTGCCATTTGGGGTCCTTGGCTGCCACCTTTCCCTGTCCTGGCTAGACTGGTCTGAGAGGGGGCAGGACTGAGATGTACAGATGACATAAAGGGACACAAGAAGAAAACAGCCACGTGCATGTGAAGGGGAGGCACCTAGTACAGCACTTCCCTCAGGCCCCTGAAAGAACCAACCCTGCCCACAGCTTAAAGTGCTGTGAGGTCAGATGGCTCCTGCTGGAGTCCCAGACCCTGGGACTCTGATGTGGAGGCACAGGAAATGAAAACAACCACCCCCATGGCCATATGCAGAGTTCTGAGCCCTTGGTCTGGCCCCCTGTTCCTGAGATGCTGCTGTCCTCTGTGGTCAGGGCCAAGGGAGCAGGGTAGACAGTCCCTGCCACCCTGGCTGGCTGGCTGGGGGTGGAGGGAGACACAGGATCCTGGGAGGGCCCATAATCTCTGTGGGGTGGCCAGTGCTTGGCACTCCTGTCTTGACACAGCAGGGGTGCTGGTAGAGGGCCTCCTGGACTGGCCCGGGTCCTGTCCGCCCATCTTTTTCCTTCCAGTATACTATTCCTCACACTCTGTACTAGCAATCTGGGGCTGCTGGGAGAGAATCTCATCTCATTCTCATTAAAAAGTCAGGAAACAAGTTGAGAGAGGAAAAGAGACTTTCTCAGTATCCCAGAGAGATACCAAGTGTTCGGCCAAGATCTTTGTGCAGTGCTTCCAGAGAGGTGTAAATCCCAATGCCCAGGACAGAGCCAGCCAGACAAGGCAGAGACTTCCCCCACCACAACCACTCATCTCTGTCCCGGCCTGGCCATGCCCAGGCCCTCACAGTTCTGTGTTGCCATCAGACCTCCAAGTGAGCCACCCTCTCTCTAAACTCTGCAGCTTTTTCCAGTTCTCTAGTGACTGAGACCACAACCACAACCACAACCACAACAAAACACCAGTCATGGGAGCTGTAATACACCGCAAGCCCACTGTAGCAAATGCATTCAGAAATAAGCTCCGATCCGAACACTCCCATACCCTTGGCCTCCAGGTTTGAGTGTCTCTAGGGAGACCCAGGTCCTCTTTCAGGAATTACTGGGGAATATTAAGAGCAACAGCCTCGCTGCTGCTGGTGCTAGAGCTTTCTCCCTGGCCTGGGGTGGCTTGACTCTGGTGAGGGGCTTGTAAGGGGTAGTCCACACGTGCCCAGGCAGCGGCTTCAGCAGCACGACGCTGGACAGTCTCATTATGGAGTGCAGGCGTCTCCACTCCAGGAAACTCGGTTTACAACAAGTACCAATTTACCAAGGACAGGGAATACAGAGAGAAAGAATTGCTGTAGACTTGTGATTTTTAACTGTTAGGGCCGAGCTGGGCTTTGGAGATCATCGAATCCAGTGATTACCCCATAAATCTCTTTAATCCAAATCCCAGTATAGAAATGATTAAAATGACAAATTATTCCTTGGGCATTTTAGGAACAACCTCCAAAGCTTGAGAAGATTTCCCTCCTCTGAAACTCTCCAATCACCTCTGCAAGGGCCCGGAGTCTAGGAACAAACCTAAAACTCCAGGAAGATCCAAGAGGTTCCTTCCTCCAGCTTTGGAGGCGAGTTCTTTACCTTCCAGGTTTCTGACTCCTGTCTGCTTTACTAAGAGACCAGAGGTCAGTGCGTGCTCCAAAGGCCTGGTCCTCCTCCTGTTAGATTGAGCCTACCGACCACACGTGCTCTCCCATTATTCTTAGTAATGCACTCCAACCTGTAGGGGGCGCTCCAGACACCCTTCTGTGCATGGTCCTCTCTACAATCCCAGTTCATCCATCTATGCAGCTGACTTAGGTCAAAGTAACACAGGTGTGGGCAAGTACGTACCACAGAGGGCACCTTCTGGGACCACTCCAAGCCCACACCAGGAGTCTCCCATCTAGGGCCTCCGTTGATCCTCCGGATGTCTCTATGGTCAACCATAGCGTGTGGTTGGTGGTTTTCAATCCAGTAAGCTTTCCCCCAGGGGATGTTTCACACCAGGTGGATATATCTTTGGTTGTTATACCTGGATGGGGTGGGTGGGGGATTGCTGCTAGCTGCTAGCTGGGAGGCCAGGCACACAAGGGATCAGCCTGTTGTACACTGGACAGCCCCAGTCAGAGAATGATTGAGGCCCCAGTGTCCGTGGTTCTGAAGTGGAAGCCCTGGGGCTGAGGCTGCAGCGCTGCCCCTCATCTCGTAGGCCAGAAACAGGCTCTGAACAGATCGTTCAGAGACGACCTGGCAGGATCAGGATTTGAACTCAGGAATTCTTGATTCCAAAGCCCATGTCTCCAGCCACAGTGCCAGTGCTTTCTTGTTGAAGTACCAGTGAGGGCTCTGCCCTACACTACCTAGAGTAAAGCCCGATGTCTCCCTACCCTGCACGAGTCGCCTCAACTTCCTCTTCGCCATCTGTGTCCATGCTGTTGCCTCCACCAACTCACATCTGAGCCAGCTTTCTCCTCCCTCGGGGTTCTCCCTCTCCTCCACCTGTAATCCCTGCTCGCCCCACCCACCATCTCAAGCGACCCTCACTACACACGTGCTGAGTGATCTGCATGCTCCCGAACACCAGGCACTGCCTGGGCTCTCATTGTGTTTCTCTCTGAACCTCCCCAGCAGCCCTGCAGGTTGGTCTCACTAATCCCCATTATGAGTGAGAAGACCAAGATCAAATGCACCGAGTGACCACGGCGCCAAGGAGCACCTCTGCTCACAAAGCGCCAAGCCCGAGCTGAGCCGTGCACCTGGGGTGAGCCGGCATGACGCCTGACCTTCACCGACAGCTGGCTGGTTTGTGAGCTGCCCAGGGTGTTAGTGAAGCGCACCTGTGGGTGTGTCTGGGCGGGCCACAGAGGCGTGGCGTGGGGACTCTACGTGCTCCTGGGCTTCCCCCTCTCCAGGCTTCTCCCCTGCTCAGCTCCCTGACCATCCTGAACCACGCAGCTTTTCTTCGCCTTTCCCTTGTGCCATGATGTCCTTATCTTAGAGTTAGCCTTTTGCGGCTAAATCTGAGACTGTGAGCTGAACAAGGACCACCTTGCCTCCTTTGGTTCTGGGTCTGCTCCAGCCCTGCATCTTCCCAGAGCAGAGAGGACTCCCTCAAGGCCATGGGTGATCAGTGCCAGGCCAAAGCCCAACGCACCACAGCATGGGCTTTCTGGGGCCAGTCCACGCCAGGGCTGAGGGCACTCCTTTGTCGTAGCCTGTTCATCCCAAGGACAAAGATACGACCAGTCCATGCAGCAGCCTCTGCTCTTGGGGCTGCCCTAGGACGTGGAGGTGCCAACTTGGAACACAGGCCTGTCAGCTGGCCCCATCAGGGTGGGACGCTGGGCCAGGGGAAGGAGACTGCTGGTTACGGATTTCTGGCTGCAGTGGGGAACCTGGGAGAGGCAGGGTCTGAGCCTGAGAGTCCTCAAAGATTCTATTACGAGGAGGCAGTTTTCAGTTGAGCAGGAGGGAGACCTGTGGGTCATTTGTGCTGTCCAAATGAAGTGGATTCCCTCTGGGTGCTCTCTGGATCCCAAGGGTCACCAGCTAAGCTTTCTTTCATCTTCCAGTGGGCGCTGTGGAGACACTGAGGCTGACATGACTTAGGAGGGAAGATGGAGGGTGGAAGAAGGAAGGGTGACTTCCGGGTATGGAAGGGTGCTTCTCACTGCGGCTTCTGGACCAAATCCAGTATGAAACTCGGTGAGGGAGCGACCATACGGGTCACTGCTGTTTGGGTGCAAGAGTAAACCAAGCAGCAGCATTTGGCAGAGGGCTTGACGCCGATTCCTGACAGGTGTCCTTCATTCTGTACTCTGTCCCCACTCAGAGGCCCCTGACTGGCCATTTGTTTTTCCCTGTTCCACTGAAAGTGGCACCAGACCTCCGAGCAGAAAACACAGAAGGACTGGAAAATGAGGCAGTTTATTTTTAGAGTGTCAAGATCCATTCCATCCTTGATCTTGCAGGCGCTCGTGGTTGACTGACCCCTGAGGGATGACCGCCGCAGTCCTTCCTGCTGGCAGCGGCCAATCACACTGAGGGCAGCCACTGGCCATGGTCGCAGTATGATGGACTTAAGGTTATCAGCACCTGGTGGACACCTGCATGCGCCACTCCTGCGGCACCATCGAGCTCGCAGTCCTCTTCCCTGCTAGGCATCAGCAGAGCCAAAGGAGTCGTCCAGAAGCAAGCCAACCTGCGGGACTCCATCCAGCCCCTGAGAAGATGCTGCTCTCTGCTTTGCACTTGAAAAAGCACTGTGCACCGTAATTATGTTTTGAGGGATTCAGAGATGACTCGGATGAAGAATTGGGATCAAGGGCAGGAAGCAGTCGCCTAAACTAGAGCAGGATAAATAATATTTGCACCAAGAGGCCTCTGGTTGATAAACTGCTGTTATCCCTTCTTCACTGAGCAACCACTCCTTTGGTTTCCATCATCACCACCCACTGGTGACTAATACTCTATTCCATCCTCAGGAAGGGTGCCTTCTGCTGACATGAATATGCATGTATGCAAATTACTTCAAAACAATGTTAAAATCGCAGCCTGCAGTCTCTATAGAGAGGAGTAAGACACAGACCCTGTCTCCCCCAGTCCTGGGCATGCACATCCTCCAGCGCGCTCTGGGAGGGGGTGGGTGGAAAGGGTATCATCACTGATGCTGTAAGGATGGGGATGGGGTCCTCAGCATGCAGTGAGATCATTTTCAAGAGACACCCACACAATGAAAACATGCCTCAATATTAGCTTTACTCATAAAACTTGCTGCTCAGATAAAGGTACGAGCAATCGGTTGCTAAGGTGCTGCTCTAGTCATCTTCAGCTATTAAATGTAAATGAACCAAAGCAAAAGCTGCCAGAGAGCATCTCAGGCCATTTATATGAGGCACTGAGCACCTATTCTAGCGAAGACACAGCCCAACAGACAAGTGATGGCGATAACAGCCCACTAGGCAGAAAGACAAATGAGTGTGAAAGGAGAAGCGCCCTCTCTCACCTTCACGATTCCAGAGCTTCCAGTCAAGTCAAGAGCCAGGGCTCAGAAGCATTGTGCTGGGGGTTCAGCGGGGAGAGGGCTTGAAGTCATGAGGTCAAGGCACTTTGGGCACTGGGCTGGCACCGACCACTGCAGACTTAGTGTGAGCCCCTCTACTCTGGGCTCCCCTTCCCCAGCAGTAGAATGAGGGGCTGGAGCAGCGTACATGGCAGGGGTGGGGGACGGTGGTGGATGTCCTAATGCCCAGTTTGTGTTGAGGTGGCACAAAGGCCAGGCGCTGAAGCCAGAAGCTGGTCCAGCACCTGCCTGTCCTCCCCAAGCCCACTGTGCTGGGCGCCCACCCCCTTGCTCTGGTCCCACGTGCCCCAGCATCTCACCCAGCCCCGCAGCAGCTCATAGGCCGTGATGCCCAGGGACCACCAGTCTACGGGGTACGAGTACCCAGGGCCTCCATCCACGTACACCTGGAAGACTTCCGGAGCTGCCAGAGACAAGACAAAGAGAACGTCAATGCACATCACGGTTTACAGCCACTAGCCCTGCAGGGGGCGGGGCCACGCACGCAGATTGTGGACGGCAAAGCCAGCTTCCGCAGCTGTGCTTTCGATATCTCTTTCTTTTTCCATCTGTCACTTCTTACCCACCCTAGACCAGCCCAGCTCTAAAGCCTGAGAGCTTCATTTTCCTTGAGCTCTGGGGAACAAGTATCTACTGATCTTCTAGCATGTGCAGGACTTGGAGCTGTGTCCTCAGGATTCTGCCTGGACACGACAGCCAAGCCCAAAGCTGAGCTCGCACCCACATGGTCGTCCTTCCCTGCATGTGCCACGACCTGTTTCCCTCCTTTCTGTGCCCAGGGCTCTGGGAGAGGGGCCACGTGGTGCTGGGCTGAGCTTCCTCGGGCCTGGACGTGGCTGGCCTGTGCTCAGGCTTCACCAGCACCCACAAGCGCAGAAGGTGGGCGCCTCGGTGACTCCCAGAAGTCTGCCTCGTGCCCAGCTGCTCCAAGTCCACTTGGAATTCAAGGTAGGTGATTTATCCTGCTCCAACTGTCATAAGCAATCAAGTGACAAATGTCTACAGTTATAGGGAAGGTGACAGTCTCTTCTCCCCCGTGTACTTGGGAGCTCATGATGCAACATGAAAAGCATTTATGTCATAATCCCTATGTCACGAAAATTACCACTCTGGTGGCACAGTGCTGTAGCACCTAGATTCAAGGGGATCATGCAGATTCAGAGCTAGAAGGACAGTCCCACACGTCCTGGTGACACCCTCCCACACACTGATGGATGAGCACTGGCAATTGTGATTGCCTGGGGCTGAGCTGAGGATTTAGGCTGGTTACCTCTTAAATCCTCACAACCACACAATGAGATAGGTGCTGGGAGGGCAAGAAAGGGGAGGCTGAAAGGGAGCACCCTAGAAGATATGACCACGTCCAAGCCTTGCCTGTGGGCAGGGGCTACCTTTAGAAATCAGGCATCTGCAGATGTAAATATAAGTTACATATAAGTTTTTATCTTCCCTCCAGATAAAAATCACCCCAGATTTGTACTGGGTCCTAGTCCCAGTGGCTGATGTCTTTGCAAGATAAAGAGTGTAGAAACTGGAGACAGAGGCAGGGATAGGGGGATGCAGCTCCAAACCCAGGAGCAGTGGGAGCCCCCAGAAGTTGAAAGAGGGGAGAGGATTCTCCTGGGATCCTCCAGGAGGCCTTACCCTGCCCACAGTTTGATACGGGTACCAGTCTTTAGGACAGCAAGCGAATGCATTTCTGTTCTTTCACACTACTTGGTAGCTTTGCTTCTTGGCTGCAAACAACCACTACAAGGCAATTTGCCCAAGGTACAGCCAGCCGGGCAGAGCTGGCTTAGCGCGTCTGGGCTTTCTGACACTGAATTCTTTCTCCCATTCGGGGGACCTCCAGGAGGGACTGAGTTGCCCCAGATCGGTGCCCTGATGTAGCCTTCTGCCTGGTACTCTCCCAGGGACGGAGTGGGCACTTCATCAATGGGTGCTTACTGACTCTTTCACCACTGATGCTGGGGTCAGTGCTGATTTTTGATGGTTGCCGAGAAATAGAAACAGCTTTCAGCCTTTTGGAAGGTCAGCCTGGCAGAGGGGACAGGTGCTTTGGAAACTACCATGTCATGTCCCCTCCTTGATAGATTAGCCACACACTGGAGAAAGCAGGGTGACCTGCCTTGGGCACCTCTTTCCTCACCCTGGGGTGTCTCTAGACCTCCTAGTGCTGGCTCCAGCCTGGTCCCCCTGTGGTTGTGATGCACGCGTGGCAGCTCGAGGTGCTCCTGCCTCCTCACGCCAGCTCCCACACCCCGCCTTCCTCTCAGACTCGCACCCTGGCTCTGAAAGCACTCTCCCCTCCTGCGTCCTACAGACCGTTGCCTATCGCAGCATTCTGATGTGACACTCCGGTCACAAAGGATGCTGCTGCAGGACCTTCTTGCTGCCACTGGCTTCACACACTGATCCTTGTGACACTTGGGGCTCTGGAGGCTCATTGATGCCAGAGGAAGGCCATCTGAGGACCAAACTGCCTGGGGCAACGAGGCTTGGCCACTTTCCTCCTTTTGGGGTTTCCCAGGGTCTGTCATCTGACAACATGCTTGGGGGACATCTCAGAGGAGCCCAGCAAAACGGTAGGCCTGGTGCAACAATGTACTTGGCTAGATCCTAGAGTTTTTTCTGCTTTTCTTCTTTGGAGGAGCACTGCAGGTGCGAGGGGTCAGGAGCAGCGTGGCCTGGAAGGTGACTCGGATCCTACAGCCAAGCACTGAGTTCCACTGGTGCCTGCCTGGGCCTGGCCCCAGCTGCACGGCAGTCACCGGAGTCCTCGAATCCAGGAGCGGCTCACCCTGTGCAGCTTCCTCCTCTGTGTGTGCACCCATGCTAACTGGTGGACCAAGTGTGGTCAGGGTAAGGGCTACAGCTGATAACAGGACAAATCTACCAATCAGTTGCAATAAGAGTTGTGTGAATGTGGCTGCTTTCTCTTGGAAAATAATGTATGCACTAGAGCTTCTTCTGTTTGTGAGACAAAGCCCCGCACAATCGGAGGAAGCGGCGTGGATGCTGTGGGCACTGTGATGTGGCCTTAGGCTGCTACATAAGGCCAACAAACTCAAGCTCTGCGGTCCTGTAACTGTGGATCTGATTCCTCGGACAGCTAAGAGGCTAATGGGAGGGCAATGGATACAGCAGGGACATACTGGACAAAGGGTGATGCATCCGTGGCTGAGTAGAGTGAGATTTTGTCCCCTAAGCAGAATGGTGCACAACGAAAACTTCTGAACATGTTACTTTTGGAGTCCTCCATTTGATATTTCTGAATCATGGGTGACCTTGGGTACCTGAAACACTGGGAAGAATGAGGGGGACAAATGTCTTGCGGCACTGTGACTGCCCGAGCCACGCCAGGCTCCAGCTTCTCCAGTTGTGCTGTTTGTGCCTAGCACTCCCCATCTTGGCCTCCATGCCTCTCCTTCGTAATGCGCTGGGCCCCCAGGGTCGTGTCCTCCAGGAGCTTGTGTCTTCCTGTGCGTCGTCGCTGCGTGCTCTGCCTGCAGCGTGTGTGCTCCCCAGCCAGCTCCTTCATATCCTCTGTGCTCTCCACCCCTGCTGTCCAGTCGTGCTTTTCTCCCTGGTCTGCTTTCTCTCCAGACTCTAGGCTCCTTGAGGGAAGGGGCTATTTTCTATGATGTTCCATTCAGGAAAATTTTGTTCACTGAAAAAATGATCATAGTTAAAAATAGAAAAAGCTCATTTCGTTCTTCCTGTGCAGCAAGTCCTGTCCTAACATCTTCACATACTGCTAAAAGCAGCAGCCGTTATGGTATGTGTCTAGATGTCTCCCCAAAGCCTCGTATAGTTGTTGGGCGGCTTCTAGAGTTTGTGCTTAATATATGATCCAGTACTGGGATTATGGCTATGAATGTTCCGCCTGCCCTGAGGTGGGCATCCTGGATGCAGTGCAAGGGAGGGAGAGGGGCTCGCTCTCCCCAGCTGCCACCACTGCTCTTCCTTTTTTGCTCTTGCTGTTCTGTTTTCCGCTACCATGAACTGCTTCCCTCTGCCATGTGCCACTCTGCCTTGGAGCCAGCTGAGGATGGACTGAAACCTCCAATAAATAAACCCAAATAAACCTTTCCTTCCTTCATTCTGGGCATTAGGTATTTTGTCCCAGCAATGAGAGATAGGTGACTGAGATGGGCTGCTGTGGGCCAAAGTGTCATTTCTAGGGCCTCGGGAGTACTCATTCCTCATAGGAGCATGGAATCTGGGCCAGCTGCCTGTGCATCCCACGGAGGAGAGAACCAGATGCCCTGAGCCAGCACTGTCAGGGCTGGGATAGAGGACTCTGGGGTGCTGGGACAGCAAGTGACATTGGAGCAAATACCAGGAGACGCCTGTGCCACATGTGGAAAGGGTGTCCAGGCTTCAAGATCCCTGCTTATATTGTGGGCATATAGGGCCTTTCAGGAAGAAAACAATTGAAACTTCTTCCAGGGCCTTTGTTGGGGGAGGAGAAGGAGCCACCAGTGTCTAAAGATGGCGACTGCTGGAAAGGACAACTACCCATGTCATCTTCACGCGCCTGGTGTCAGTGAAGAGCTTTGGAGGCCACAGAGATCTGTTTGCATACCACCTTGCCCATCCCTCAGGTGTCCTAGGCGGTAGGCATAGAAACTGAGGTCAGTGGAGGCCAAGGGCATTTCAGGGCCACAGAGACAGTGAGTGGTGAGCCTGGGTTGGAATGGCATCCCTGGACCCTGAAGCCCAGGGCCCACACAGCTGCTCCATTACTAGGACGGAATGTAGCTCTGTTGAGAGCAAGAGTTGCCACATTAAAGTGCTATTTATTGAGCATTCGCCCGGTGTCAGAAACACGTCACAATCCTGTACATATAAAGTACCTACTCCCCTGAACATAAACATGCAGAGTACTTCCAGATGCCAGGGACAGTGCTGTCTGGCCCGCTTTACCTCATCCTAGCCTTAGTGAGGAGACAGCTATCGTTATGTCATTATGTTTGGGGAGAGTAAGCCACATGCTCAAGGTGACCCAGCTTCTGAGGCTCTGAGTCTTAAGTGAACCTGAACACTTCTGGTTTCCTGGGACAACTGGAGTGACAGTCACTAGGTCACACTACTGCAAGGAGTGCTCCTGGACTCTACCTACTAGGCTACGCTTATGCCATGCTAAAAGTAAAGCCACACATACACAGCACTGTGCATCTTTTATGTGTGTTATATTCTAAAATCTTCCAGTGAGCAATGTGGTAAATCTGGTGAGTCAACTGGAACCAAATCCAAGAGTATTTATGAAGACCAGCAGAGCAAATTAGCGTTTCAACATAACCCAAAAGAAAACAAAAGTGTTTCTACCACCAATGAGCACATTAATAAGGGTGGGTTGAAAGCCTATGGGAACCAGCCCTCGACCACGTTCCCTGCGGAGCCTCTTTCCTTTCCCGCTGTCTCCCCAGGACCTATGGCAGTGCCAGGCACAAGCAGTGTGCTCAGTGGGGCCCCACGGACATGTTGGGTGGACACGAGGGCCGCAGAACTTGGACTGTGCCCAGCGTGGCCCAGGTGTGGGGGAGATCATCTTTGCTTCATCATCTCTGCAACAGCTGAGCCGTTCTTCCGGAGCAGGTTTAAAATGGAAAAGAAGTTTGCTTTCAAGGGACATCAGGGCTTCTCATAATTGGCCTTCCAGCAAAACAAGAGCATGCAGAGTGCTGTGAAAGAGGTTGTCTCTCTTCCCCCTCAGAAATGTGAATGCCCATGTGGTGGGATTTTCTACCCCACACTAACCATGCAGCGTTTCTTTCCTCATTAGACTAAAAATATGAAAAAATACAATAACCCTCTCAGTTGCCATTCTTAGCCTGCTGCTTTCGCTCTGTGCACATTGCTGGAGGTTTGCCGGCTGCAGCTGAGTGTGAAATGCTAGTCGGCGTCGGGCCTGCCGGCACACAGGTGTCCTGGTCCATTTCTCCAGGTGTGCGCTCTCTGCCGGACCCTCAGCAGTTCATTATGCGTCCTAGCTAGTAGGGCCTTCGAGCTAAGGTCTCTCTTTCTCCAAATGTTACAGATAAGGAAGCCAAGGCCTGCTGGAGAGGCCGAACGTCATGTGGCCCAGCCAGGACTAGAATTCATCCCTCCTTCCCACTGATGCTGTCCCGGCAAGACCACGCCTCCGATTTGATAGAGGAGGGCCCAGCTGCGCCGCCAACCACTCGCACACCCTCCCCGGCCGCTCTCGGACAGCGCCCTCTCCTGGCGGCTCAGCCTCAGCCCGCGCCTTGCACTGTTTGAACTGTTCTCTAACCACGCGACTGGTCCTCAGGCTTCGTCATTTTCCTTTCCAGAAGAGTCTCCCCCACGTCTCCATCTCTCTCCTGGCCCCTTCTCTTGTCTGCCTGGAGTCATGCCACCCCCCTCGCCCACCCAGTGGCCCTCGACCTGGTGCCACCTCTGCTGCCCGGAGAGACATTTGCAAGTCGGGGGTTCCGAGAACCTGGAGGTCCAGGCTGAAGGGTGTGGCCGCTCAGCCTCGGCTCCACGTTTAGAAGGGCAGCCTTACACACTGTTGCGTTCCCACTGGCACGTTCAAATCACTCGCTAAAATCAGGACAAGTTTTCTTATTTCCTACCCAATAAATTGCCCAATACTTGGCATGAACACTTCCTAGAAATAGGCCCGCCACTCCTACTACATTCTCCTATCTGGCTGCTGTTTCCATTGCAGCCACTGTGCCAACTTCAAAGGACACGCATTTTAAGTATTTTGTGACTTACCTTCCTGATAAGCTTTATGCTGTTTTCCATATTCATAAACTCCTATTCATACTTCAAGACCCAGATCAAATTTCACTCCCTCAGGGACTATTCATCAATTCTTTTATTATGATTGTCCCATTCCCCTCGCTTATCTTTAATGTTCTGGACTTGTTCCCACTCTTGTCTATTCCTCCTTGAAGACTTGATCATGCCGTATTTTAATAAATGGCATTCATATCCACCTCACTCACTGGACTGTGGGGTCTCTGGGGACAGGGCCATGGCTCAGTGGGCCCCAGGTCTTCCGGGACAGCATGAAGCTGTCCAGAAGCAGACTCTCGACGCACTGCAGTAGCTAAGACACCGAGGCGCAGAGTCGACTGCTGGCGCTGGGTCCAACAGCTCCTCCAGACAGCTTCCCTCGCAGCCCCCAGCAGCCTCTGCGGTTCTGCGTCTCAGGCTGCCGGCAGCGATCCTCAGGTGGCCCCCCTCACCAGCACCGTGCTGGTTCTGCTCAGCTGGGTGCAGCAAGCTGACCACCAGTTGGCATCCACCATGCTGGGCGAGCACTTCACCTGCAAGCAAGCCTCAGAGTCCATGGAACCAGCCAGTGCCCACCCTGCATGCAGCAGTGGTGGCATCAGGGCCCAACAGCATGTGTGCTTAGTTCCCAGACAGCTGTGAGCTGGCGTTCAATGTCAGTGCATTATTGCATGGCCAAGGAGACGCACAGGCGGGCGCCCAGCTCGGGTGCGCGGCACTCGCCCCCTGGTGACTCAAGAGCTCGCTCATCGTTCTCCGCATTAAAGTGAGCGAGGAAGCTGTGGTGAGCAGAGATAAGCAGCAGCCCGGCCTCTCTGGATTCGCAGGGGTAATTGAATTTTCTCTGGCTCTTCGCTGGCAGGATGAACTGAGGTATCACATGCTTACATATTAATTTGAGATAAAACCCCCCCACTATACTAGCCTGATAATTTCTCTCTTTCTAGGGGTGTGAATAGCGTTAATAGTAACAGAACATTGGTTTCATTGAAGTGTAAGAAACTGCTCGGGCCTGGACCGTTAAGATTTCGCAATCTGCGTGGGGAGAGGAAGGGCAGGGGAGGGCTAATTGGCGGACGGATAAACAGGAAAGCTCTGATGAGATGCAGGAATAAATCCTGATCAAATGCCAGAAAATGGCTTCACATTAACTGCATCGGATTCAGCTAGCAGACTGAGAAAAAGTCTTTCACGCCTGGTGTAGCTCTCTCTGGAAGCACAGATAAGAATCAGCGCATTTTGCAGAGTGACTGTGTGTGAAGCTGGAGAGGAGCTTCTGACCAGCCCCTCAGGGCGGCGGCAAGCTCAGTTTCCACACGGTGGAGCTTCTGCAGGAGCGCGGGGGCTTTACGCTGCCCCGCCCCCAGCGGTTGGCGCATCTGCGAGCGCACGCAAAGAGAGCCTGGCGAAGGGACTCAGCTCTCACCCGAAGTCCTGGGTGCTTTACAGACGCGGCACACACGTAGCCTGGAGGAAACGGAAACGATTCTGGCATGCCTGTGCTTCAGTGGCGATCTGTCACGTGGCCAGGTCTACGGTTTGCGCATTTGTAGCATTATCCCAGGACTCAAAATATTTTGAGTTTTGGAGTATTTGGGATTCCAGGTTTTCAAATTAAAGACGCTCCGCCTGGAAGGCCACTCACCTACAGGACACCGCATTCTCTCTCTCTCTCTCTCTCTCTCTCTCTCTCTCTCTTTTAACTATCAGACATCTTTTTATTCAAAAACTTAAGCAAAGTTTGAAAATACCTTGGTGCATCTTAGGTATCAACACAGGCACACAGGCTACATCCACATCACCAAGTGGGGTGTGAGCGGTCAACAATCTAGGCCTGGCTTCCCCTCTACTCTGCCCTCTCACTTTCAACTCTCTGTGTCGTAGGGTGTGCGTAAGTAGCTGGGAAGTGTTAAATTCTGACAGTAATACAAAATCTGAGATAAAGGGTATCTTGCTCTGAGTATCTTCGCTTTACACTTTGCTGCTACAAGCCAGGTGGGTCTACATTTTTTGAGTGCTGATTTTATTATTGAGAGAGATGGATGAGGAGATGGGAAGAAAACACTTTGTCTCTATATGTTTTTGAAAGCTCCATCAATGAGAAAGCAGGAAGAACTCAGTTTCCGGTGGGGGGGACGTTCTCATGGAGGTACTGCAAGGCCAAGTCTGTCCACTTCATTTCCTGCTCTTTCACAGATTCCGTGGTGCCACCGTTGTCTTGTTCCGGCTCTGGAAGTTCATTCAGTGGTATTGCGACATCCTCATAAGGTAGCTTGTCTTCCCGCCACGCATCGTCAATCAAATCCAAGATCCTTCCATCTCTCTGTACCTCACTATCCATCTTCCTGCAGCTGTGATCCTGTCAGATCAAATGTCGCAGCAATGAGGGGGTGATCTAGGTTCTCTAACGCGTGTTCCTTCACGTAAGGCACTGTGTGCAGTGAGTAAAATGATTGCGTGGGTGAGCTAATGGCCTCGGCCGCAGGGCTAAAGAAAGCCCAACACAGAGGCGCGAACAAGACCCACCGCTCCTAAATCTAGGAGGCGGGCAAGAGAAACTCTTACCCTCATCCAGGGAGCTGGAACCGCTCCGCATTCTCTGTTTATCCAAGACAATCATCCATCTCTTGGCCAGCTCCCTTTGAACCTGCTATAGGAACCCGAAGCTCGAGTGCGGCGTGCACACACGCACGCAGGCCCTACCCACGTCTGAAGCTCACCTCCTTGGTGGCTTTGCTCAGCAGATCCGTTGTACAGAGACACAGACGCACGTGTGCTGGGGACAAGCAGGTTTTCTTTGGTCCTGCTGGCCCATCGCCGGTGCCTCTGCTCCTTGGCAAGCGTAGCTCTGCGTCCCTGCCGTGCTGCCCCGCCCCTCAGTGAGCAGCACTGGCTCAGCCTTGGGGAGCCCGGAAAGGGACTTCTCAGCCAAGTTACTCCAGGCGCTCTGAGTCTAGCTTACCCATCTCATCATCATTTCTCTTTTCTATTATGCTTCTTATACAGATCTTAAGGAAATCTGCTCTGTTTACAATACAGAAGGGAGAGTGTCATGTCTCACCCAGTAATGAGAAGCTGGCCAATCCACACACCTCCCAGTTCTGGAACCCCCATGGGCTTTAAGTCTGGAGCTCAGGCGCCTCTCAGCACAGGCGGAGAAGCGAGGACAGGCTTGCCGGGCGTGCCATGGAGGACGACAGGTGTGACACAGAGAGTGCAAGATTTCATCCGAAATGCATATTTAATACTTGCCAGAGGTAGCGTGTGAGCTTAAGGGCGGGAACTGAGCCCGTTTGTTGAGATACAGAGGAACTTGCCTCCACACACGATTTCTTCTCACAGCCTCACTACGTATTCATGAAAGAGATCGGGACAGGAAAGGAGCTGCAGAAGCTGCCTTCAGGATGAAAGGCTTAGGGAAGAGAGCTGTCACTCCCTTGGGAAGGCCTGCGCCCTTCCTAGACCCATTTCTCAATGTCCTGATGGAACAGCAGCCTTAGGTTACTGGGAGAAAGGCAGCAGACTCTTACCACAGGGCACACATACTCAGGATGGCAGGGGATGGTACAGAAGAATAGCCTGCGCCATAGGAAAAGGACAGGAGAGCATCCCAGGCTTAGCCACTAGTGTGTCCCACTGCTGGGAGAGAGGCAAGCGCAATGTGAAAAGGCCCTCACCTGTGGACAGGGAGCCTGCCTACAACTGACACTGAGGCAAAACACCAGGGACCACAGAATGCCCCCCACCACCCCAGACTACTGGAGTCAAGCACCAGGAAACGGACACCTATGGGGCAAGAGAATGAACACGGGAAGGTGCAGGTCCCCAGGTGAACCCTCGAGTGAGGGTGGAGTAGGAACATGGAGGCAAGCGCTACGGCAACCCATCGCAGTATCACTGCAGAGGTGGTATACTGAAAATGCTCATGGCAACAAGGAAACCCACACCATGCTCGACTGTGGCACTGATGGATTCAGTCCTCCCCCAAACACAACTGAAGGCAAGGAGCACACCAGCTATGAGCATTGACAGACATAACTTGGTCCCACATGTGATGCCCAGAACTTAACCAAAAACTAGACACATAATGAAGTCAAAAGAGACACAGAACATAGAACTATGTCCAGATGGGAGCTAGAGGGGGGAGCTAACAGAGAATTTAAAAGATTTCAGAGTCTCTAGTAGAAAAGTGGAACACACACATCAACTCAGGAGGATTTCGATAGGAAGGGGAGATATAAAAACAATAAGATGAACACCCTAAACACTAACAAACATAGTGCACAGGTAAAGAGCCCCTCCGTCAGGGTCATCTGCAAACTGGGGGATGGGTCAAAAGAAGCAGCCAGAAGTGAAACTCTAAGAGAACAAAGTAGGAAAAATAAAAGAGCAAGGTATCTAAAGGTTGTGGAGCAAAATATCGAAAGTCTGACAAACACATAATTGAAATCCCAGAAGCAGAGTGAAGGGGTAGAGAGTAGACTGGAAGGAAAGTATTTGCAGAGATAATGATGAAGGATTTCCAAGCGTTGAGTTATCAGACTAGATATTCAAGAAAGTCAGAAAGCATCAACCAGGGTAAATGGGAACAATGGAAACAAAATCCAATACATCCAAGCATATACTATCTAAAACAAAAGGAAAAAAGAAAATCCTGGAGGCAGCTCAAGGAAGAGGGTGTTGTATATTCAGAAGAACCAAGAGCAGACACATTGCAGATTTGCTATCAGGAATGGTGGCAAGCATGGAGCAATGGGGTGACGTGTTTCAGTGCTAAAGGAGAAAAACTACTAATTTAGAATTATGTATCCAGTTAAAATAAGAGAAATAATTTCCCAACACAAAAAAATTAAAATGGAAAAGTATTAATTACCACTAATTAATACTTTCTCACTGTAAGGAAAGGGAGCCTGTCAGGTAGAGACGAAGCTATATAAAGAATTGAAGAATCCTGAAAATGGGAACAAGAGCGTAAGTATATTCTTTCTTCTTATTTTTAGCCACTATGAAATATAACTGGTTACTAGAAGCAAAAATAAACTCAGCGAATTATATATTGAAGCAAATAAAACAATAAGAGGGAGGATTTGGAAGTGTAAATAATGAGATTTGTATATCAGACATATTTCAAGGCAGATTCTGATTCATCGGTAATAGAGTGGTACCTTGGTTTATGAATGTTTTCGTGAACAATTTGGCTCAAAAACAAAAGCATTTTGCAAAATTTTGCTTTTGTTTGCAAACTCTACATCAGGTGGCAAACACAACTGCGACCATCTCTCCTGCAAACGTGGCCATCTTTCCCAAAACTGTGGGACAAATTCAAGTTCGTGAAGCAAGGTTCCATGGTATGTGCTGTAAATCTAGGACAATTTCTGTATTTCTTTAAAGTACAAATATTTAAAGTACTAATATAAAAAAGATATTAGAGCAGAATCTGAAATAATTATGAACAAATCCCAGACAAGCAAAAGACAGGGAACAAAGACCAAGTGGAGGGAATAGAAGAAAAAGCAAAACAAGAGATTACAGGCCAACCAGATCAGTAATTATACCAGGCACAAACAGGATAAAGGTTAATAATAAGAAGAGGATGTTTGACTAGATAACAAAGAAATCTACCCTAAATATAAAGAAGCCAAGATGAGCTCTAAATAAAAGATGGGGCAGTCTTGTCAGGGACATGTGGAGCCAGTTTGTACTGCTGGCCCCTGAGGGCCCACTGTCACATGTTTGAGGATTAGTGTTGGTAGCTGAAGCCCACAAGAGTGGGAGCACTTGTATCACTAAAAAGCACCACAATCTATAATCAGGACTTTAATTTTTCTTTACTGGAGAAATAGTTGTTAAGCATTTAGCAGCACGCTAATGAATATATCATGCAGACCAAAGAAGGCTACGCTCGGGATGTCAGTACAGTTGGGCCCTCTGTGCTTAACTGGTTCTTGGTCCACAGGCCAACCAACCAGACTGAAAATATTCAGAAAAAAACTGCATCTGTGATGAATGTGAAAAGACCTTTTCCTCATCATGATTCCCTGAACGGAGAGTGCTGCAGTTTTTCATGGCGCTTGCTTTGTATTCCCTAGGGGTTGTGACCACCTAGAGCTGACGTAAAGTACAGCGCACTGGAAGATGTACAGCGCTTATATGTGAAGACACCACCACTGTACACAGGGACTGGAGCATCAGTGAGTATGGGTGTCCCAGGGCTGGGGTGGGCGGGCCCACAAATGAGTCCTTCATCCAGTCCAAGGGACAATCATATTAGACAATGTGGACTTCAGAACAAGGAATGAGAAGGACATGCTATAGTGACAAACGAGGCATTTTCCCCAAGAAGATG